AGGAGTGGACTGTGGCGAGGAGTACTCGAAGCGGAAGCGCTGAAGGGCCTGCTGCACCATGTGTGACTGAGTCAAGGTAATGGTGCGCCGTGCTCTGTCCCGGGTGATCTGCAAGCCAAGATAGCTGCGCAGCTCACCCAGGTCTGTGCACGTGTGTCTATTCTGCAGCTCCGACTTCACGTGGGCCAGTCCAGCAGTGTTAGCAGTGGCAAAGACCAAGTCGTCGACGTACACGAGGATGTAGAACGGCGGCAGCGAAGTGTCGGTGCGTAGATATAGCGACGGGTCAGCAGTAGAAGGAGCAAACCCAAGAGCCGCAAGAGTCGTCCTCAGTGTGTCGTGCCACTCGCGAAGCGCCTGGCGGAGACCGTAGACTGGCCGCCAGAGTCTCCACTGGGTACCTGCAGGAAACGACCCAGTGAAGCCAGGTGGGCGGCGCAGCCAGATCTCCTTGTGCAGGCTGCCCTGTAGGAAAGCAATGCTGAAGTCAAGAGAGTGAAGCTCGTAGTCACGCTGAGCAGCGACGTGCAGCAGCACCCGAAGAGTGGTCATCTTCGGGGTAGGGGAGAAGGTCTGGAAGAAGTCAACTCCCTGTCGCTGACTAAAGCCTCGTGCAACGTAACGCGCCTTGAAGACAGGCGGAGAACCCGGCGGCCGCTTCACCCTGAAAATCCACATGCCACTGACGATGTTCGCCCCAGGTGGGGGAACCTCGTCGACGTAAGTGCCTGTGGACTTCCAGGATGCCATCTCTGCGTCCATGGCTGTCTGCCACTGAGAGGAGTAGGGACCCTCTATCGCCTCTGCATAAGAGCGCGGGGTCGGGATGTCTGGTGCATCCGGGTCTCCCTCAGGTGCAATCAGCATGGACACGAGATGAGGTACAGCAGCTGCAAAACACTCAAAGTCCTCCTGCTTGTCCTCAAGGACGTCCGTGCCAAGAGCACACTCACCCCCGACAGATGGAGGATAGACAGACTCAGCCTCAGCAACAAGACAAGCGGCGTAGTCTAGACGACAGGCGGCAGCAAAGTCAACAAGCTCAACAACTAGGGCAGACGCAGCAGTGGACTCAAACGAAGGGTCAGTGACAACAGTGGCTAAGACGAGTGGCAGCAGGTGCAATAGAGGCGCCGGACGTGTGATCGAGAAGCGAGACTCCGTCTGAAAGAGCTGCAGGTCATCTACCCAAACGTCGAAATCAACCGCACGGCCCCCAGCATCGAAGGTAAGAACAGTAGGGCTAGCCATGGCGGCAGTAGGAGCAGTGGCAGCAGTAGCAGCAGTAGCAGCAGAAGCAGCAGTAGTAGCAGTAACAGCTGTAGCAGTAGGAGCAGTGCGGGCAGGGCAGCGCGGCTCAGTAGGGCAGGGCGGCGCGGCTCGGCAGAGCGGCGCGGCTCGGCTGGGCGGCGCGGCTCGGCTGGGCGGCGCGACTCGGCTGGGTGGCGCGGCTCAGCAGGCAGGCAGGCGCCCAACGGGCGGCTGCAGGCGCTCGACGGGCGGGTAGGGCCGGCGCTCGATGGGCGGCGGCAGGGCAGGCTCACGACGAGCGGGTAGGGCAGGTCCGCGACGGCGGGTAGGGCAGGGCCGCAACGGGCGGGTAGGGCAGGGCCGCGACGGGCGCGTAGGTCAGGGCCGCGACGAGCAGGTAGGGCAGGGCCGCGACGGGCGGCAGGGTAGGGCAGGCGCGCGACGACGGCTGCAGGTAGGGCGGGCGCGCGACGGCGCGGGTAGGGCAGGCGCACGAACGCGCGCTTAGGGCAGGTGCGCGTAAGGCAGGGCGCGCTAGGGCGCGGGTGAGGCAGGCGCGAGGCGCACTACAGGGCAGGCAGGCGCGGCAGCGCGCTTCGGGCAGCGCAGGAGAAAAAATCGTTGGTGGGCCCTTAAAACAAAAACGTTCCCACTATGGAACCTGCTCTGAAACCATGTCAGAAATAGGAAACAAGAATGACTAGAATGACAGCAGTACAGGGCTTGTATAGCAAAACCTAAATTGGGCTGTACCCCATAAGGAGTGCCCCACTACAGCCTAGAACATATAAATTCATAGTTCTGACAGTCTGGCGGAAGGTGACTACGGACAGCAAGAGCGGCATTAGCGTCACGAGAAGTCCACTGGGACTTGTCTATTCGGTCAGCTGAGGCAGTTGGGGCAGCGAGGGACCCCGAGGTATGCTTTAAAGGAGAGAAATTCTCCCTAGTCACGCTGTGCAGGTAGAAGTGGAGGTCCTCTAGCTAGGGCTCAAAGTCTATCGGGTGGTCTTCGGCGTCAAAGGTGAGCACAGTGGGAGTCGCCATTGTAGCAGTAACGGCAGCAGCAGCAGCAGTAGCAGTAGCAGCAGTAAGGGCGGCAGCAGCTGCTGGACCGGCGCAGAACGGCACTGGTGCGCGGGGCTAAGGCAGCACTAGTGCAGGGGGAGCAGCTTGGCAGGGCAGCTCGGCTGGGCGGCTCGGCAGGGTGACTCGGCCGGGGGGCTCGACTGGGCGGCTCGGTTGGGCGGCTCGGCTGGGCAGTTCGCATGCAGCAGCAGCTGGCGTGCTAGCTGGCGGTGCAGGCAGTAGCAGTAGGCGCTCAAGCAGGGCAGGGCAGGAGCGCCAGCTGGCAGTGCTGGCAATGCAGCAGGGGCGCGAGCTGGCGGCTTGACAGTGCAAGCGAGGCAGGGCAGGGCAGCGCAGCTGGCGGCGCAGGGCAATGCGCGGGCGGCTCAGGCAGGGCGCACGCAGGCAGCGCAGGGCAGTGCGAGCAATGCAGCGCGCAGGGCAGCTAACGGTGGGCCGGCAGCGAGCAGGTAGCGCGGGCGGCACAGGGCAACGCGGGCGACGTGCGGGCAGCGGGCGGGCAGCGCGAGCAGCGTGCGAGCGGCGTGCGGGCAGCGCGGGCAGCGCGCGGGCAGCGTGCGGGCAGCGCACGGGCAGCGCGAGCAGCAGGCGGGCGGGCGCACTGGGCAGCGCGACAGTGCGCGGCTTTGGGCAGGGCAGCGCTATAGCGCGCTGTGCAGGGCAGGCACAACGGGCCGGGTTGGGGAAAAACAACTGCCGGGCAGAGCGGAACTAATTTCAGTGGGCCCTAAAAAATACGGTCCTAAACCGGGAACTACTCCGAAACCATGTTACAAACTAGGAATGGTTGGACTAGGTCTAAGGAGGGGTACAAGAAGAATGTCGAGAAGATTTGTGTACCCCCTAAGGCTAAACCCACTACAATCTAAGCAAACATAAGGACACGATCAACTGCAAAACACTCGAAGGGCCAGGTTACCATGTTTCATTTTCGTGGGTTGGAAGGGTTGGGTTGAAACAAGAAAGCACACAGGGCGACAAACAAACAAGTCGCATGAGTTTGACGCCAACCCACAACGATCGCAACCCTAAACACACCACGCACACTCGACCATCTGCAAAACAAGCACAAACGTACATGAGACTTTTTCCAAAGACAGGCAGGCAGACACGCAAATAGAGTGAGGGCAGCAGGCAAGCAGGCAGCGTACGACGCTCCCACGCACACATCGCGCACCACGCACACCACGCTCGTAGTGGTCTGAATATAGGGGTCGGACGCACACGCGTGAGCCGTCGAAAAAACGTCGTTCCTATTGAGTCCTATTTGGCGTGATGGACGGAAATGTGGCGAACAACATGAACAATGTCGAGGTAGGCGTTTGCAAAGTAGTAGGTTGCAGGGCATGAGATATACCGGAGTCATGGCGGAGAAAAATGCAAAAGAGGTTGTAAAGTCGAGCGATAATGCAGCGGCAATTCGGGATTTACTATCACTTACCTAGAATGGAGGCAAGTCCCACAGCGCGTCAAACATTGCGCCATTATCAATACCCGCAAAACGGCACCCCTGCACCAAGCTTCACCACACAATGCATGCGGAAAGACGTCGCGACAGAGCTGTCGGGCGCACACATGCGACGCGTCACTAATAAAGGCAGAGTCTTATGCGACCAGCTCGGCACATCAGCGACGCGTCACGTCAGGCGGGGAAGGGAAGTCACGTCAGGCGGGGAAGGGAAGCCACGTCAGGCGGGGAAGGGAAGTCACGTCAGGCGGGGAAGGGAAGCCACGTCGGGTGGGGAAGGGAAGTCACGTCAGGCGGGGAAGGGGAGGTGCTGCCCAAGGGGGGAGGGAGGGGTAGGGCAGAGGGGGAAGTCAGGAATTGTGAGAGGGGGAAAGGGGTTGCTGTGAACAGGGGAAGGGAGGTGCAGTGAGAGGGTGAAGGGAGATTACGACAGGAGTGGAGAAAGAGGCGAGGGTAGAGGGGGAAGGCAGGTGTTGTGAGCGGGGGAAAGGAGGTGAGGGCTAGGGGGGAAGGAGGTCACGTCATAGGGGGCATGGAGGTCCGGTGAGAGGGTGAAGGGGTGTGTTGTGAGAGGGGGGAGAGAGCGGTTCTGTGAGAGGGTGGAGGAAGGGGTAGGTCACAGGGGGAAGGGAGGTGCTGTGAGAGGGGGAAGGGAGGTGAGGTCAAACGGACAAGGGAGGAGATGGAAGAGGGGGGAAGGAGGGCTTGCGAGAAGGGGAAGGGAGGTGAAGTCAGAGGGTGAATGGATGAATCGTCAAAGGGGGAAGGGAGGAGCTGAGAGAGGAGGGATGGAGGGGTAGGCCAGAGGGGGAAGTGAGGGGCTGTGGGTTTAGGAAGGGGGGTGCTGTGAGAGTTGGAAGGGAGGTGATGTCAGATGGAGAAGGGATGTGAGGTCGGAGGAGGAATGTATGTCACGTCAGAGGGGTAGTTAATGAGGTGCGGTGACAGTAGAAAGGAGAGTGCTGAAAGGGGGGGAAGGGATGTGCTGCGGGAGGGGGGATGGAGGTGAGGGCAGAGGGAAAAGGGGGTTGCTGTCAGAAGGGGAAGGGAGATGAGGTCAGAAGGGGGAAAAGCGGTGATGGCTGAGGGTGAAGGGAGGTGGTTTAGGGGCAAGGGGGGTGAGTTCCGAGGGGGAAGGGCGGTGACTTCATAGGGGGAAGGGAGTACTGTCAGAAGGGGAAGGGAGATGCTGTCAGAGGGGGGGGGGGAAGATATTGCAGAGGGTGAAGGGAGGTGTTGTGAGAGGGGGAAGGGAGGTGAGGTCAGAGGGGGGAAGGGAGGTGTTGTGTGAAGGGGAAGCGAGGTGAGGGCAGAGGGGGGAAGGGGGGTTTGCGAGAAGGGGAAGGGAGGTGGAAGTCACGTCAAAGGGGGAAGGGAGGAGCTGAGAGAGGACGGATGGCATGGTAGGCCAAAGGGTGAAGCGAGGTGCTGTGGGTTTAGGAAGGGGGATGCAATCCGAGGGGGAAGGGAGGTGCAGTGAGAGGGGGAAGGGAGGTGAGGTCAGAGGAGGAAGGGAGGTGATAAAGGAAGGGGAAAGGAGTTGAGGGCAGAGGGGGAAGGGATTACTGTCAGAGGGGGAAAGGAGACTAGGTGATATGAGGGAAAAGAGGTGAGGGTTGAGGGGGAAGGGAGGTGAGGGCAGAGGGGGCAGGGAGGTGAGGTCAGAGGGGGGAGGGCGGTGAATTCAGAGGGGGCAGGAAAGTCACGTCAGAGGGGGAGTTGAGGTGCAATGAGTGGAGAACGGAGGGTGCTAAAAGGGAGGGAAATGATGTTCTTTGGGAGGGGTAAGGGAGGTGAGGGCAGAGGTGGAAGGGGGTTGCTGTCAGAAGGGGGAGGGAGATGAGGTCACAAGGGTGGAAAGAGGTGAGGTTAGAGGGGGGAAGGGAGGTGAGGTTACAGGGTGGGAGGGAGGTGTTGTGAGCGGGGGAAAGGGATGCCACGTCCTATGAGGGAGTTGAGGTGCTGTCAGAGGGGGAAGGAGGGTGCTGAAAGGGGGAGAAGGGGAGTGCTGCGGGAGGGGGGACATAGTGGTCACTTACCTAATTCGTGTTTGAAGGGCCGGCAGCTGTGCGGTAGTCACTATGGTAGGCGCCGTAGGTGACGCAGGGGTGGTGGACACCCTGGAGGCACGGCTGGAGGACGCCAGGAGACGCCATGAGGCCAACGAGTACGGGCCAAACCTACCGTTGGCGGTCATCATGGCAGGCATCCGCTCGGTGTGGGCGGAAGAGCACCCTACTCGACTAGCTTCTCCTCGACCGGTGAACAACGAGGACGGCGTCGACTTGGGAGTCAACGCCAGTGGTGACCAAGTCGGCAGCAGTGCGGGAGGCACGTCGAGGCAGCGAGGAGTCACGCCGATGAAGTCGACGGCGTTCAGGCGAGAGGGATGCGGTCGTCGGCGGCTGCAGGCTCCTCACAAGGCGACGTCGGAGGTCGACGAAGCAGTTTGTCGCCGATGTCGGCGACCCATGTGACAGCGGGCGGGATTGCACCGAGCTACGGCTACTTCAAGTTTACGCCGGACAGGATCTTAGTCACCCCCCTGCTTGTTGGTCGACCTGATATCCTCACCTGGAAGGAAGCCATCGAGCCCCAGCTGGAGATGGCCGGGCTGATCGGCTTCGCCAGGGGCACTGTGGCGACGCCGGAGGAACACTACCCCGACTTACGTGCCGAGTTTCGCGCTGTGCAGTTGCTGACCTTCACGGTCATCTCACGGCGCTGCTCGTCAGGCGTGCAGATCACCTTGAAGTCGTGCAGGGAGTACCTCGACGCCGGCCACCGGGCATGGCACTTCATTGAGTCGACGTACCAGGTCACCGACGACCTGTACATCGGCCAGCTTGAGGAGCAGCTGTCGCACATACGGATGGGCGAAGCGGAGACGGCGACTGACTACTGCAACCGGGCTCGGCGAATTCTCGCCACCATGAGGATGGCCGGCGTGCACTACTCGACGGCGTCGTACCTCACGCAGGTCATCAAAGGGCTTACGAGCAACTACAACCTGCTGAAACGACTGACGTTGGCGCCGAGTACTAGGGCGACACTCAACGAGGATTCTCTTACCTCGTACATCCTACAGGATGAGGCGATGCAGGAAGCTGAGCGGCCCTTGTTGCTCCTGGCGCAGGTGAACTACGTCGCCCCGGTGAAGCAAGGTAGTCGACCTGGGCAGCGTGGGCAGTCTAGCGGCGGTAGTAGCAGTGGCTGGAAGTCGACCAAGGAAGTCGACAAGAAGAAGTCGGCCAAGGACAGCGGTCGTGGAGGAGGAAGTTGACGTCGGGAGTGCTGGCTATGGGGCCTCTTCTTTGAGTGCCCCGACCGCAGTGAATCCGACGACGACGATGCCAAGGGAGGTCGCGGGAGGTCTGGCAGCCGTCGTCCCCGTCGAGGCAGAAACCGGCCGCGCAAGGAGAAGCAGTCGACCAAGTCGTCGACCTCGGCGAAGGACGCCGACGCCTCTGCTGGCGGCAAAGGGCGAGACGACAAGGAGGCGTCGTGCTCGCTGGTCGGCGTCGTGGAGCCGACCGTCTCGTTGGCACCGGAGGCTGGCGAGGACTTCCAGGAGATGGCGGCAGCCGTGCAGGCCAACCCGGCGGTAGTTTTGCTCGATAGTGGTTGCTCCCACAACTTGATGGGGACGAAGGAGGTCTTCGTCGGCCTGCAGCCGAGCGGTGACGAGAAGCACGTGCGTGGCTTCAACGGGGCCCTGCAGGACGTCCAGGGTCGGGGCACGATCGCCCTGCAAGGGAAGGCTAGGAAGCAGGTGCTGATCCCTGGTGTGCTCTACGTCCCAGGCGTGCACGCGAACCTCCTGTCGGCTGGCCAGCTGAAGGAGAACGGTGTGAGGCTGCCAGAGGACGGCGACGAGATGCTTCTCGTCTCGGCGGCGGGGGACGTCCTTGGCAGGGCGTCCTACACTGGCCGGGTCCTCTGCACCGACCTGCGTCCTTGCTCGGCGAAGTCGACGTCGCCCATGATGGATGTGGTGGCCCTGAGGGCGATAGTCTCGGCGACAAAGTCGACCCCGGACAGACTACATGCGAGGCTTGCGCACGTCGCCATGGACACCATCCGGAGCTCGGCGAAGCACGAGGTCGCCATTGGGCTGGACCTCAAGTCGACGTCTGGCACTGACTCACCGTGTGTCTCGTGCGTCGGTGGGAAGCTGGCACGACACACCTTCCCCGACCAAGGCTCCGACGCCGACGACGTGCTGGCAGTCGTGCACATCGTCCTGTGTGGGCCGTTCCGCGTAGCTGCCAAGAACGGCAGCCTTTACTTCTTGCTGCTAAAGGACCGCAAGACCCGCTACGTGTGGGTGAGGCTGGTCGCCAAGAAGTCGGATGCACTGTAGGAGTTCGTGCATTTGCTGGCGGTTGCTGAGCGACAGACGAAGAAGTCGGTGTTGATGTTGCGCTCTGACCGGGGAGGGGAGTTCCTTGGGAAGCAGTTCACCGACTTCGTGAATGGCAAGGGAATCATCCACGACCTGACCTGCCCCTACACCCCGCAGCAAAACGGCATGGCCGAGCGGGAGATGAGGACGGTAGTGGAGTCGGTGCGGACGATGCTGCTGCACATGGGAGTGCAGCACCACTGGTGGCACCTTGCTCTACGGCATGTCGTCTGGGTCCGCAACTGCCTGGAGAGGTCGACGATGCCGCCGGGGACGACACCATACCAGCTGCTAACCGGGTAGAAGGCCGACCTGTCGCTGGCACGGGTGTGGGGCTGCATGGCGCAGTTCTTGGTCCCCGAGCAGCAGCGAGGAGGATAGCTGAAGCCGAAGGCCAGGTGGGGCCATCACCTCGGCGTGTCGGAGAAGAGCAAGGCTGGGAGCTCCTCGACATCGCCGACAATCGGGTGGTCACCACGTCGGACGTGGTGATCTACGAAACCATGTCGCTGGAGGTGTGGAAGTCGGAGCACGGGCCGGCGTCAGGACGGACGTCGACCACCCCGCCGACGGACACCTCGACGGCGACACTTCGTCTGCTCGCCGAGGTCGGTGAGCTTGATGATGAGGACGCCGAGGTCGTCCGTCCTCCGTCCCCTCCCCCTGCACACCCTGCCCCTCCCCTCGTGGCCGACCTGCGTTGGCTGACTCCGTTGTCGGCCTCCGGCGATGAGGGGAGCAGTGGGGCGTCTCATGAGAGAGCAGACTCACCAGCACCTGAGTGAGCAGACGCACGAGCACCTAGAGCAGCAGCCTCGCTAGCACCTAGAGCAGCAGCCTCACCAGTACCTAGAGCAGCAGTCTCAATGCCCGGGTCGGGCGGAAAACACCGGTAACAGTCACCCTCATCACTAATAGTCACAGCATACATGGCAGCAAGAATAGCATCAAAGTCAAGGTCAAAGACAGCTACACCCGCCCTAGACAGCTCGCCCCAGCGGGGGATCTCAGTGGCCTCAGGGAACTGGTGACACCAAGCGTCCGTCAGGCGGCCAAAGCAGCGCTGGGTGGAGTGCGCACCCCCGCACTGCTCACCCGCGCGGTCGCCGGTGCGTAGGACGTAGGTGCACGGACCAGTACCCCCACCCCGCTGGCGTGCAGCGTACCACTCACGGAGCTGCTGAGGGGGGGGGATGTCACGAGTGCGCTGCTGCCGCTGCTGCTGCTGCTGCTGGCGCTGACCACCACCGGAGCCGACCCTCTGCCCAGCGCCACCCCGACCAGCTCCACCTCCTCCGCCGTCGCCTCCTCCACCGCCGCCACCTCCGCCACCTCCGCTCCCACCGCCACCGCCGCCGCCGCCTCCGCCTCCACTGCCGCCACCGACACCTCCACCCCCGCCACCACTCCCACCACCACCCCCACCCCCTCCACTGCCGCCACCGCCACCTCCGCCACCCCCGCCAGCCCCTCCAGCACCCTTGCCCCCCTTGCCCTTGCCGGTGCGGCGTCTCCCGCTCGGGGCAGACGCAGCGCCGACCGACTCGAGACCAACGAGGTCGGCCGCAGCAGCAGAGGCAACAGAGGGCAAAAGGGGGGAGGGGGAACACCCCTCAAAGACGGGGGTGCGAGGGTCACCACGAGAGGCTCCTACAGCGACTATGCTCTTCTCTGCTGCTAGGAGGGCCTTCTCGAGGAGGTCAACGGTGAGAGTGGTGGGGCAAACTGAGAGGAAGTGGTCCCTGACTACGCGAAGGGAGTCAGGGAGCCGGGTGACTATGTAGTAGAGGGTGATGTACATGGGGGGGGGGTTCTTGTCGCAGAACTCAGCAGGAAGCGCAGCGCGGTAGCGAGTGTCACTAGTGCGGAGGTGCGTAATGAGGTCAGCGACTGTGGGAAAGGCAGCAAGGTCAGGGAAGAGGTACGGTAGCATGAGGCGGCTCAGTGCAGCAGTGGCAGGGGAGGAGTAGCGCGCAACTACAGCGTCGTACAAGGTGTGAGCACTCTTGTACTGGCTAAAGTGCGCACGCTCAGAGGTAGGCAGGTGGCGACGCACAGCTAGACGTGCAGCAGCATCGCGTGTGGCCCACTGTGAGCGAACAGTGGCGTCGGCATCAGCAGCAGGGGCAGGAGAGGCACCAGAGGTGAGGTCAAAGAGGGAGAGACCGTCTGCCCTATCGCACTGTAAAAAAAGCTGCAGGTCATCTACCCAGACGTCAAAGTCAATGGCCCGACCCTCAGCGTCAAAGGCGAGGACACTAGGGGTAGCCATGACAGCAGTAGACTAGCAGTGCGAACAGTAGGGTAAGGGCAGTGCAGTGATAGAGGCGCTGCTCTTACCGGACAGGGTGGCTCGGGCGGCTCGGCGGCTCGGCGGGACGGCGGGTCGGCGACACGGCGGCTCGGGCGGCTCGGCGGCTCGGGCGGCTCGGGCGACTCGGCGGCTCGGGCGGCTCGGCAACTCGGCGGCCCGGGCGGTTCGGCGGTCGGCTGCTGGGCGGCTCGGTGGCTCGGCGGCTCGGCTGCAGGATGGCTCGGCGGCTCGGGTGCGCGGCTGCTGGGCGGCTCGGCGGCTGGTGTGGTTGGTGACAACCGCGGCAGCAGTCGCAGAAGCTGTGGCG